AACTACAAAAATGATTTCGTTGAATTCTGGTAAAAAGATATAGAGAACCTCAAAAATAATGTAAGCTACCTTTTCTCTCGAAAATTAACTTGAAAGGGTTGAAATAGGGTTTCGGAAGTTTATATTGGAAATTAATTACATTATACGTAAACAAAGTCGCAGGCACCGTATTAATATCATAAATAACTTAAACTTTGGTGTTAGCTACTGTTTACTCTCCATAACTGTGTCGCAAACTTCCCTTCGTTAGTTCGCTACGTTTATTTGGCCATAAACTAAAGATGTGACATCGTTTTGTGGGCTTTTGTTACACCCTAAAGAGTTATTTGATTTCGTTCGTCTCAAACGTCGAGGTATTTTTTCTTCATTACTTTTTTAGGTACAAGCCCATGTCACAGAATACTTAATATGTACGAATTTACTTATAATGACCGCGTCCTTGACGCTATAAAATGCAAGCTCGGCGAAAAGCTTGTGCTTACGTTAAAATATGCAGTAAGACTCGTGGATATTATGTGTGTGACTTATAAAATTACCTGAATCTCGCTAACAAAGCAATTACATTCACAATGTATATATACAAATTCCAACAATGGACAGTCGTCACCCGCTAACTAGAGCCGAGGTTCGAGTCTCAGAGACGCCCTCTAGGTGATCAAGACCCCCTCAGGTTCAAGTTCTCCGCCCCTGGGGAGATGCCATCCGCCTGGAATAGCTCTAGAAGCACTCACCAATGAGGGTTTTCTGAAATGACGGGCACCAGGTGGCTGTACTGAGACGAAAGGTTACTCATCCGTCAAATCGCATATGTTTTCATAGTCTATGGATCTGGTCTATGGAGTTCGCGGCAAAAACTTCATACAAAAGACCTCGCGTCACAGTGGCGCCAACTGGCGACGTAAATTTTCACAAACACCCTCATTCTCGGCTTGAGGTCCCCTAAGGATCTCGCCGTCCTCAAACCCGGTGACACTGTAAAGGTCATCTGCGACCAACAGCTTTACACACTCAAAGAAAACTTTAGTCGTCGGACTGGTACTAAGCATTTCTTTATTGAAATATTTCTACCTAGGTATCAATGAAACCGCCAGTTTGTGGGTAATGCTGTGCCACCCACCCAACCATCGCTGATATTGCACACCGACTGCGACCGCACGCCACGGTTGGTTAGTGGTTTTATGGAAATCGTGCCAACGGCATCTGAACTGCAATTTGGCAAAGTGTTAGAGTACAAGAGCTATATGATGGGTTCATAAAGACGTTTGGCTATCTAAGCAGAAAAATTCAATTTACCTACATATTCATCATTGGGTAATGAGTAATAAGTGTTGCACTTTGTGACACAATGGGTATATTGTGTCACAAAGTGCAACACTTCCGAGCACAAAAAGCGTCGGCTCCCAACAAATTTTCATCATTTTTCTGTCACGCATACATTAATGTTACGTTTGCAGATATTCTCACACAATTTCAAGCAGAATTTATTCGCGACTAGCGCGATAAATGCTGCCAAAATATTATATAACTGTAAATTTCGGTAATAATTTTCGAGACTAGCGGTAGCCGTCCTTCCGATTACTTTATATTCTATGCTAGTATTGAAATAAAATCTAATACAATTGCAACATGAATGTTTATTAAAATGAATTTATAAGCACAGATATACAAAAAAAAACCTTTTAGTAAGAGTGAAACTATAAAAATACGTCAAGAATGTATAGTCCCCGCAAATGGGCTACGGTTCAAAAGCGGTGGCGCGGCGGCGGCTTTGACGCCCGCTGTAAAAACGGTATAAAACGGTTGAGAACCACGCGAAACGGACCAGTATACGGTATACCGGCTTACGTAGCGAAATGCATAGCAATTAAGAGAACCCTAGATGGATTGTAAACGCTAATTTCGTTTCAATTAAGAACCCTTTACAGTTGGAGTCGTTAGCGACTAGGTTACGCGCAAATAAAACTGTAGGTAAGACGGTTGTAGTTGGGTAGTGACCGAAACATTTTAGCGTCCGATTTATGCGTGTATATAAAGAAGAGTTTTTGTTAGAAGAATATTATCCATTTTAGTAGGCGAAACTAAATAAATAAATATTTCCAACACTCACACCAATTAGCCTAGCCCCAAAGTAAGCACTACAAGGCTTGTGTTATGGGATACTACTAGGGTTACGGATAGAATACATAAACTTTACTTATATAAGTATATTTATATAGAAATACATATTAAACATCCATGACTGGAGTACAAATGCTCGTGTTCATCACACAAACATCTGCCCCCACCGGGATTCGAACCCGGGACCTCTCGAAACCCGGCGTACAAACCACTCGACAACGGAGGTCGTCATAACTACTACTCATCAAAAGAGTGTAACATGAACTTTTGACCTATATTTAATACTTATAGAATTTTGTTAAATATAACCAATTTGATTTATTAGTGACTAAAGCAAAAATATATTTCAATTAATTATACATTTGTTTCTTAGGTTTTCACGCACATCACTCATTAAATAAAACTAGTTTTTTACGGGTTAATGCACGAAACTTTATTTATTTATTGACGTTTCGTAGCCTTTACAGGCTACGTCGTCAGAATCAAATTTTATAAATAAAAAATATAATTTGATTCTTTATAAATAAAAAATAAAATTTGATTCTGACGACGTAGCCTGTAAAGGCTACGAAACGTCAATAAATAAATAAAGTTTCGTGCACTAACCCGTAAAAAACTAGTTTTATTTAATTATACATCTTATAACAATAATACAGTTCGAGGGTTCGAGTCCCGTCTGCTGCCTGGCCCGCATGGTTTTTTTTCTAGTAATATTTTCTTGAAATTAAAACATCGAGCAGTTTCATGCTAAAAAATATAAAAATTATAACAATAATATATATATACATTTAATATCAACTGATAAAACTTGCATTTACGTAAATCATGCATGTTACTTAAACTTTTTTAATGTGAGTATTTAATTTAAGAATTAATGTCGCTGATAGACAGTATATAGTTACATAAACATAACATTAACAATGTAGATTGCTTGCATTACTTTCAATTCATATTGATAAGATATAATGTCAAAGTCCAACTTTCTTCTTTCTTGTGGTCTTTTTCCTTTCGTATATATCAAATGGCTTAGCCGCTAATTTTCGTTTTTTTTCTTCAGCTCTCGTTGAACGCCTAACAACACAACGTTTTTGGGAAGGCTGACAATGTTTTTACGAACTAGGTTTCAGGAAAATAAAGTTCGTAAAATAACCTAAATGATTTTGAGCAATGAAGACGAGAGAGCTGTGAGAGTTCCGATAAGTCAATGCCTGCAATAAAAGCGACAGAACTTTGAGGCGACAACTGTGATCTGTGCGATATCGTTTCGTTTTCGTTTCTGTACCGAATTTATACAGATTCTTTACCGAGTAATCAAGTGAGAGCTTCCCACTGAGTCGTTTCCGTACAGATTTACCAACATACATACACGGGTCTGTAACGAATCTTCACAAACCATTCGACTCGCCCGCCGGACGCTGTGACGGCATTATAACAAATCGTAAACATCGTAGTAAACGGAATGAAACGATACCGCAAGCAAATAATCCAGTCAAGAAGAGGTACCCCTAGCACGAACCATTATCGAATCCGAATAGTTTGCGACTGCGAAATGTCAATGTCAAAAACTTGAACAGCAGCGCAACAAAGTACGTCTTCATCATCATCAGCCTATTAATTTCCCCACTGCTGGGGCACAGGCCTTCCCTATGGTTGGAATAGGGAGGTTGGGCAATGACCCACCACGCGGGCCCAGTGCGGATTGGTGGGTGCTAACGACCCCATCCAATGACCAACCACTGCGAAAGTCGCTTAAGTTCAACGATCGCAGCCGAACGCGCTAACCACTTGCGCCATCGAGCTCCTCGTAAAATTCGAACAAAGTACGTTACGAGATCTAAAAAAAAATCAGTACACATTTGACAATGACACTTAGGACTCGCAAACGTTACGAATTCGATATTGGTTCGTGCTAGGGGCAAGGGTCTCGGTAAAGAATCTGTTCAAATTCGGTACAGAAACAAAAACGAAATGAACGGTCAGAAAGGCGCCGTAATGAACTATCACATTAATTATCTTACAGATCTAGATTCAAAATACTTTCGTAAGTATATGCTTAAAACCCGAAAAATAACCGCTGTTATTCGATTCATTTCATCGATTCGCCTGTCGGTATATCCTCAGTTTCTCTAACAATTTTCCGACGATCGACTCCTAAACGATCGGTCGAGGAAAAACGTGGATCCTGCCAGATGAAGTGGCGAACTTCTGTGCCAGTCGCAGCGAGCGTGCGGTCTACGTGATTAAACTTTATTCCCAAGTTGGGGGAAGAAAAACTTACTCATGGCGAGGCCACGTTCACGATAACATATCAGTTACTGCGCCTAATCTGGTTAATACGCTAATGGTGAAGTTAATGTATAACAAAATTAATGCTGGTAGGTGGTTGGTAAATTTGCCTCTCTGTTAAATTATTTGTATGAATATTATCATCTTTATTAAATATCGCTATATTATCTTTTCTTGATAATATATTAAATTAACGATTTCTAATAAAAAGGGTATCTTTTAGTAAACTGCATAGAGTTTGTGCGGAAAGAGAATGGGATTTAGATTGGAAGGCGCTGTAGTCCTTTTCTACCGTATTTGTAAGGGTTTACCCCTTTTAGACGTGATTAAATACAAAAAACCGCAAGAAATCACAGCAACAAACAAATTCGTATCAATACGAAACTTTAATGTTTTACAGATTGCTGGATTTGATTGCCAAATAAAACTCTTAATGTTAGTTCCGTTTTTCGCCACGCCCATTCTCTTTCCGCACAGACTCTACTGTATACACACATCGAACTAAGCCAATTTAGGATGCAATCCTGCCATGTTATATTTGAAACTATTATTCTTATATTACACAGAAAGTCTTTATAAATTTCCTTTTGTTTCAGAATCTCAAGGATCAAATATTAACGACAAACGTCTGGTTGGAGCACGTAAGAAAAACTTTTAACTAGAAACATTCTTATATTGTAAATCACATTCAATTCACTTCATTCACTGCAGCCTAAGAAATACAAGAGAAAATTTGCACACGTAAAATTAGGGCCGGGGTAGCATAACAGTTAGTGCATCCGCCAGGATAGCGGAGGTTGTGGGTTCGAATCCCGTCTGCTGCCTGGCCCGTGCGGATTCTTCAGATAACTAAATGCTTAAAATATCAAAATATAACACTTCATTCACATTCACTCTTCTTCAGATCCTAGTCATATGGCCAATTTATTTGGATCATCGTACTTTATCCCATCTTATTCCGTATCTCCCATTTAAACGTATCACTCACATAGTAACACGTTTCATTTGTCATTCTCTCTAATGTTTCCATTAAAGTGAAATGATTCTCTTAGTTAGTCACGTTTATCACTTTAAAACTCCTTCTTGTAGATACCCCATTTTGTCTATTTCAACACTCCATACCTTCGTCTCTACATTCTCATCATCGCTACATTGCAACATTCTTACTGCTTACCCACACTCAAACTTACATTAATTACAATCCAAAGCTGACGCGTAACATTTGAATAACTTCTAACTGTTTTAATATAACTGTAGATGCAGATTTCGCCGAAGCACTTCAAAGTATTCAAAATGAAATTTAACTGGAGCACCTTCAAATCCGAGAAGTATATTCCCGGGAAAGTATAATTTACATTACACCGGTAGAGTTGCAAAATGTGAGGATCCTCCATAATATATTATAATGTATTTGAATGCTGAAAATTTTACTTGGCATCAACTTAACGACGCCTGTGAAACGACCGACTTTCTTGAACGGGGTTATTTCAAAATTAGTAATACGATTTGATTTGCACCTTTCGTCTTCATTTTAAATGCAAATAGGTGAATGTGCAAATTATATAGCGTAAAAAATATAAGTTCGTATTATAGAAACTCATAAAACATTGTTTCTTTAGTTTCATTCAATCAAAAAAATCACTACACATATATAGGGATTCCGAGACGGTCAAGCAGCTTGTCGTCAAGCACGTATTTTCTGTTGCTTGCTCAAACAGTTTAATAGTTTGACCAAGCAACACACATTTTTTTCTCATTTCGAACCCGATCGTTCGTGTTGGTGTACGAACAAAGTAATTTTCAATTGTGCGAAATGGATTCTTACCATCGTAAAACATTGCTAGTTCTTGCATTAGCTTTAAGTTTTAGTATGAATGGTACAAGTTAAGATCTTGGTCGCACTGTACTGAGCTATGCTTGAGCAAACCGACAGCGAACACTGTCAAAACGTCGCGTCTCGTGTAGCAAAAAAATATAAAATCGCATCAAGCGCTGGGCAAGCTCATAAATGCTTGACTCATTCATCAAGCAAACATCGTAGACAGTTGAAGCAAGCTAAAATCTTCGTGCTTGACGCCAAAACAGCTTGGAATCCCTACGTTTCGCACTTTCAAATTTAGATTTGCATTTCAATATCACACATTCTTTTTATAACGATGCATTACTATTAAATGGACTTTATTAAATACACCTTAATTTCTTGCAGGAATGGGAAGATCACAAATTCAAATGGGATCCCCTAGAGTATGGTGGGGTGAAGGAGCTGTACGTACCATCAGAACACATCTGGTTACCAGACATCGTATTGTACAATAAGTAAGTTTAAAGCAAGTTAAGTATAAGATTCAAGAGTGGTAGAGCACCGCGGAATTCGTTTATCACGTAGATTATCAAAAAGTATTGGACACGTATTTTTTCTTTTTCACATAATATAAACATTCCAGAGATATATTGATTTGAAAAGTCGCATGACGTCACGTTTTGATACACTTTTAATTAGTGAATTTTCGCTTAAAAGTGACGTCACGCGCCCCTACTCCCAAACTTTGACGAGCTATAACTTTTTAATTTTTTTTGTTGATTGCCCAAAGAAAAAATACGTGTCCATTATTTTGTGATCATCTAACTGACGGACTAAATAGAATTTCGTTTATTGTACCCCGTCATCACCCCTATTGGAGCGCTCGTCTGGAGAAACAACCTCCATCTTACAAAATACCACGGTAAAATAACAATACCTTTTGTTGGTGCTGTGTTTCTGCTGGTGAGTCGGGTTCCAGGGCACTGTGGTATACCCGATTGGGTTCAGGCCTGCAAGGTGAAAATGGCTTGAGCATCACACCTTCTGCCACATCATCTGTTTTCGAGACGTAACCCCACCTACAGCGGACGGGGGGCGGTACGGGGGGCACTAGGCCGCGTACTCAGCCCCCACGCGCGGGCCTACCTGCGTACGACTGCGGGGTCCCCGAAATACCTCGGGAGACCCCTGCCGTGAGGATCGGCTAGGTCGGGAAGCTGTTGGGAAGCGGTTGGCATTAATCAGCGTAGAAGGTATTCGCAGGGGGACTCCACCTACGCTTACATCAGTTGGGGTGGGATAATTTGCTGCGCTTCGTATATAAGAAAGTATTAAGAGAATTGGAATGAAATACAAGAGGGTCCTAAAGAGTGAAAACGAAAACTATCAGAAAGCTTCAGCTATACTTCCGTAGTTTCATCCATCCGTCCGTCTATCAGCGAGATATATCTGATTAGCCATAACAGATAGGAAGTTGATTTTTTTACTGAATATGAGAGAGACAGAGCGAGAGAGTGAGAGATTACAAGAATATGTATTTCTATTGCCACTTTAACACAAACAAAGTTAATTAATAAAATAAAGATATATGTACGTTGAACGTATCATAGGAGTTGATATAAATCGCAATTTTTATGTTGCAAAAATATTGTTATCCTTGTATGGTGGTATATGGAACCCGTCCTGTGTACATGAAATATTAATAACTACGTTTGACGAGCAACCTTCTGTCATAAAGGTCCTGGATCTCGGAATTGTCATTTATTTTCTTGGTGAGCACAAACAAAGAATATAATTTTCCTATCTTAACTAAAGTAGTGTAGCAAGATCTGATTTTTTTCCATTTACTATAAAGTAGTATAACGTCGAAATAAGATCTTGCATTAATTTCATCCTAACGATGCCTGCATTCACAATCCTCATAATGGCATTAGTTGGGACCGGTTGCAATTACCCATTGGGTAAGTTTGCGTGTTCAACAATGCAGTTCAGCGTTCAATAATATACGGCCAACTTCTTGCAAATGGCGCCAAACTAATTCGTCTGTGAATATTTGATGCTGTTACCAAATTTTGTGTAGTATTGTCTACTAGCAATGCTCACGTCAATTCACTTTTAGTGTGGACAATTTTTAAAACTGTTTTCATCATCAGCCTATTCATGTCCCCACTGCTGGGGTACAGGCTTTCCCTATGGATCCATCCATAGGAATAGAGACCTCTCTATTCCATCCCCCACCAATCCGCACTGGGCCCGCTTGGTAAGTACCAAGCGGGCCCAGTGCGGATTGGTGGGGGCTGACGACTGCAGTTAAAGCCGGGACCAACGGCTTAACGTGCTTTCCCAAGCACGGAGGAGCTTCTGTCACTGTTTTAGTATATTTTTACTAGGTTTATCTAAAGTTTGTTTGTTATAGTATTTTTTGACGGTTGTTTGGTTGGGGAGGAGCTCGTTGACGAATGTGGTTAGCGCGTTAGGCCTGCGATCGTGTAAGTTAACCAACTTTCTCAATGGGCGGTCATTGGGTGGGTGACCAAAAACTTATTATCTAGAACTTCTGCGTTCTTTGGAAGCCACGTAAAGCCTTTGGTCCCGGCTGCGATTATCAAAAAAGGTAAATTTAAAAAAATCAAAAATCGACTGCTTTAATATTACTTCAAATAAAAACAGAAAAGAAAAAACAAGTCTAGTAGTCTATAATTCTGTTAAGTAAGGAACAAAGCTACTTTAACAGTCGGGACCCATTAAGCAAGAGTTGTATATGTGTTTGTTTTTATAATAGTTACGTGAGAAGTAAGCTAGAATACTGCAGTACGGTCTAGTGCCCTGATTTCAAGGTTCGTATAAACCGGATTGAAGGAGTACAGAAAAAACTACTTTTTAGGTTACCTTACCGTACCGTACTTTCGGATCTATAATATAATATTTTAAATAATATAATATTATAGATCCGAAAGTGAGTTTGTTTGTTGATGAATTTCCCTATAGAAATACATGGGGCCTTGGTTCTAAGCTACATTATCGAAATATTTATAGGGGTAGGGTAATGGGAGGGGTGATTTACCTATAAAACTTTTTATATTTGCTTCGAATTTTGCAGAATTATCGTTTATTATTACAAAACCAATATTATCGCGAGCTGATTCATAAAGACAGGGAGTCTATTAAGTATGTACCAACTAGCGAATAATAGATTATTTCTCATTATGTTAAGTAAACGTAAGTTTAAAATAAAAGCGCAAGTGGTTAATATACAACTTTAAATCGTTGTAAAACCTAAACAATCATATAAAATGATAAATGGTGTAAGAAACTTAAACATGATTTTCGTTCATCTCGACAATGATACCCCACTCGACATATTTTGGTAACTTATTTTTTTTTCTTTCTCACAATATGGCACCCAATTGTCTATTGATTTTCGATTATTATCATATCTTTAGTAGCATTCCCATAGTTAAGATGGATCGATTGTTGTATAAATCATCAAAATCGGTCCACGCGTTTGGTTTCTAGTGTACCACAAAGGAACATACATACTTAAGTGTATATAGACTGTGAATACTATACCCTGTCTGCGCGTCGCGCTTCGCGCTCTTGCATTGCGCAGTCGGGTAAAAAGTATACGTCACGTATTTTTTCCTTTTTTCACATAATCAAAACATAACAGAGATATAATCATTTGAAACGTCGCATGACGTCACGCCTTGGTTCAATTTTTACTTAGTAATGACGTAACGAGCCCCCTCTCCCAAACTCTTTGTCCTTGTAATTTTTTGGTTGATTGACAATCGAAAAAATATATCCATTAGTCTTTGATAATCTGACTGTCCGTCAGTTAAAATTTCCTTAACTTCCCCGTCATCGTCCATATTGTAACCAAAATCACAATGAACAACATTTGGTGAAAGTCGCCCAAACTTATTCTAACTCAATTATGTCCACTATTCCGAAATTGAATCCGATCAGTCCCCAACCCATAATGTCGTATCAGATGGGCGTATCACACGGCGATCTGGCCATAACGTGAAAGCACTGCTGCCAAATGCGTTCCGCATCGCAATAGGTTCACCACTGCTGTCTTCCACGGCTGTGACAACTACCATAAACCTATCAGAAGGCAAGTCATACGTAAACGGACGTATCCGCGCCGCAAGCAAAAGGCGGCAGCGGGTAATACCGGTTTTACACGAGGCGATTTCAATTGATCCTCTGCTAAATCGCATGCGATATAAACCGCCTGAAAACAGACTTTCAATCAAATTGAAGATAAGCGGTTGAACGATTAAATATCAATTTAAATCGCCTTGTTTGGACCCGGTATTATGACGAGGAGCTCGATGGCGCAAGTGGTTAGCACGTTCGGCTGCGATCGTTGAATTTAAGCTACTTTCGCAGTGGTCGGTCATTGGATGGGTGACCAAAAATCTTCTATCTCGAGTTCCTCCGTGCTTCGGAAGGCACGTTAAGCCGTTGGTCCCGGCTGTATCTGCAGTCGTTAGCACCCGCCAATCCGCATTGGGCCCGCGTGGGTCATGGCCCTATCTCCCTATTCCATCCATAAGGAAGGCCTGTGCCCCAGCAGTGGGGACATTAATAGGCTGTTGATGATGATTGATGATGATGATGATTATGACGATTCAGCAACGATAAGAGTTGAACACAGAAGATCACAGTAAAATAACACTAACTTTTGGTGGTGTTTTGTTTCTGCCGCTGAGTAAGTGTCAGGACTCCACGGGGTAGGGGATTGGGCCAGGGTAGGCAACGGAGCTAGTGATAACTCTGGTATCGCAAGCATCGCTAGCCATGGAAGCCGCTTACTATCAGGTAGGCCATACGTTTTTTGCCACCCTTTTACAAAAAACAAAATTGTGCCGCTCGTTTAAACTGAAATTTTACGGAATACTTCTACAAAATAAAAGTTTCATATAAAATTGGATCACCTGATGTTCATTTGAATTATATAAAATAATATTCATCAGGAGTGGCATTGTAACAACCAACCTACCTAATATTTTTGATAAGTAATGTAGTCATTGGCTATTGTTTGGTTAACCGTCGCGAATTGTTATATTCAACCATTTTTTAATAATCCTTCACGATGACGATCTTCGAAAGAAGAAGGAGAATTGATATTTTTTTTAAATCTGGCATACAATATTACCATAGTTATCTGTTTTCTTTCTTCTATCCGTTCCAATAGGGAAAACTATATTAATAAAAAATAATGAAAAAATTGATTCTTTAATTGCTATTTCTTCTTTCAAATATTTAATACTTGTAAAAGTATTCATTTGACATTGTGGATTACATCCAATGCAAAGAGATGGCGCTGCCTTGCATCTTAAGAATAGCTAGAGGAATTTCGACGCGGCCGTCAGGGCCGCGGTAGCATAATTGGACAGTGCATTCGCCCGGATAGCGAAGGGTGCTGGTTCGAGTCCCGTCTGCTGGCTGCCTGGTCCGCGTGGATGTTTTTCTAGTTATATTTTCTTTAGATTTAAACATCAAG